ATTAGAAGCCCAGTCTGGCAAGAAATTTTTTAAAATTTTTTTTGAAAACCCTGCCCCCATAGGGTACTTTTTGAGAAAATTTTGCCTTTCTTGTGGGACATAATAGAAGCCCACTGGGCTTCTAATGTTCGTTATAAGCTTTATTTAGTGAGAAGGCAAGAAGAAAAAAGATTATGTTAAAAATAAACATAAGAACAGCACAAAAAGAAGAAGAAAAACCCATGACATCATTTTGTCTGTTCATGAAGGAAAAAGTTGCTAATGTACAATAACAGTAAAGATAAACACACACACGCACACATTCGGTCTTACTGATAACAGACACAGAAAGACGAAAAGTAAATGAATAAGTATCAGTAACATAAGGAAGAAGTCCTTTCTGGTTTTAAGATTATCTTAATGAGCCTGAATAGAATGACGGTCTCAGTTATGGAGGATTTATTATTCTTGCATCTTCGGATTTGCACGAACAAATACATTTCAGGATTGTAGATCGTTGGTTAAACTAATATAAGCAAAACTGTACTCTACAAGATAAAACATTGATCTGTCATTCATTCAATATCTTAACTCCGACTTTTGCGCCACATCATAGTGCTCGATTCCGGATATCAAGTAGGAGTCAAGTTTTAATGGGCTTTTGAGTGTGCATATAATGAGGGAAGTGTGCACTATATTGTCACTTTGGATTTTGGAGAACTGGACTGGTTTTCCAAGGTCCTCTGAAAATCCTACTTTTGAAAAGGTTTCTAGAATTTGTTTCGACTTCAAATCTCCTCTTTGGATTCACTGAAACCCACAAGTCACTATCACTTTTCGTTTTTATTCTTTTACCTTTTCGATTTTTCGATTTATTCAAATAACAATCGAGCGCACTGCTTTTTTTCCGATACTAGTTAAACTAGCAGACCAAAGTAGGATCGGAGCGTGGACTAGTTCAGACTCGGATTGAAGCTTCGTCTAGACCAATCTGATATTAGCCTAGATCGGGATTTAGACGCTGACATATACATAGAATCAACATCGAACTTGATAAATTTTCTGTTATTATTTTGTGACTTTTCAGGTTCTGTTAACATCAGTCACAGAAGATCAGGTGAAATTAAAAAACTAGTTGATTCCTGTGACTACTTGAAAAAGATCAAGAAAGTTATTATCCAATGGATATAGTGTATCGTAAATAGCGGAATACATACTCTTAGAACACACAATCAGTCAGTCATAGAACAATTTCTCGGGTTTAGAATACGACAGAGTTTGTGCATAAACATGGGTAATGTCGTATTATTGACGCAGTGAATTGTGTTTTAGATATTAAATTCAAACAAAACATGAAGCAAATTAGTAAAATATGACTAATGAGGAAAGCACTTCAACTGTCCGATCGCTTTTTTCACGAAACCTAGTGGACAATAGGTAATCGAGTGTACTGAATCCGAATATCATAGTGGTTTGGGCGTCTAGGCCTCCAGAGACCGATTTTCTGGAACACCTGTTTTTCAGAAACTCTAAAAGATAACCAAAACCTTTCTTAATGACGCATAATTGTAGCCCGCACATTTCTAATTAAAATGAGACATCTCCATGCTCTACACGACCTTTCTTTCCAAAGTTACAGAATTTACAAAGGCAGGCCCAAACGTTCGTTGTCAGCTCAAAGCTACAGAAATAAGAACAAATTAATTTAGGGCTTTTCTGGTAAATTGTATAACTTTGGAAAGACAGGTCGTGTAGAGCTGGGAGATGTCTCATTTTAATCAGAAATGTGCGGGCTACAATTATGCTTCGTTAAAAAAGGTTTTGATTATTTCTTAGAGTTTCTGAAAAACTGGTGTTCCAAAAACCGATCTCTGGAGACCTAGACGCCCAAACCACTATGATACTCGGATTTAACACACTCTATTACCTATTGTCCACTAGGTTGTCTCTTTCTACAACGATGTGTAGGAGGAGACAAACGGGAATGTCGTACCGAAGGTTTGCTAAACGTGTTCTATTTCTGTCTGTGCGTGTGCGTTTCAACATATTTGACTAAAAGATCGCTTATATGCGTGATTAGTGATGAGGGCAACACATTTAGCATTTTTGACTAAAAGTTCGCAACTTATATAAAACACCATGTTATGTCACAACAACGGGAATTTATATTACATGTAGATTCGAGACAATCTTGCAACCAGTCAACAAGTTCATCCTTTGTCGACGATGATTCAGCGTTCAGTATCCTGAATTCGTCATTCAAACATTCAATATTCAATGCTCGGAGTTTGAATAAACAAGTTCAAGTACATATATTTGGGTTCGACTCTAATTCGAAGCACTTCACGCTGAATGCCTAACGAGGAATTGCATAATGCAGCGCATTGTTGACTAGTGAATCAGTACCAGTCTTCTTTTTCGACATAACGGAGAGCGGACCACATATCATCGTTGAAAGGAAGTTGTATCGAACGGTGACAAATGTTGGAAAAGCAAACCCATGGCCGAATCACCAGATAAAGAGAACTGATAGTGCAAGTTGCGCACACGAGCTTGGTTTGGTATTGTATACCATGTTTTCAAACTTTAGTAAGGTTGTGTGGTGAACAGTCATTGTGTGATACAGTTACAGATATCCAGCTTCGCATCATGAAAATATGTTTTGTGTGAAACTACTTTTCGAGCTCACTGTCACACTGCCCACACCTCCACCGCCCGTGGCACACTGTCAAAAATACCCAAACGTGTACTATTCGCGCCAAAATGCGAAAAGTGATTTGAATCTAGAGATACTTTGCTGACCGTCGATTCATATAATAAGCTCTTCAGAAAAAAAATTTGAATCGATTCTGTCCTCCGTATAAAAGGTCGATTTTGCGCTAATGCTTATATCCTTTCTGAGGTATTTTGCTGTTAAGACCTTGTCCGGATGGGGTATTTTCCCCTTAAAGTATTTTCTCTGCGGCATAGTGGGAAAAAGTAAGCAACGCAATCTGGATGCCGCGCTCTCCAGTTGCTTCTTGCTGAACACTATACGTGAATGTTATGAGACTGATGCAAAATAAAAGTCGTGTTTGATATGATCTATAGAGGTATGAATTTGATTTTACCTATAGCTTTCGTCTTTGTTCTGTGTAGATTTTTCCATACTTAGAGTTATTGTTTTTTAGGAATGGCATGTGTGAGATGTTTTCTACGTATTCACTCTCATTTCCACCGCACCTCCACCTCCCCAGGGCGTGTGCATGGAGTATTGTCCGCAGTCCTTTTCTTTCGTTATTCTAGTAGGAGATATTCTACAAGTATTCAGGTTTTCAAAACCTTTCTTACAGGTTACAAGGTTTATAATCGAAGGACAGAAGGGACAGTGCCTGAACAGCAAAACACCTCATAAGGGACAAAAGGGGCATAAAGGACAATAGCTCAACAGCAAAGTACCTCATAAGGGACAAAAAGGACATTAGGAACAATACATTCAAAGGAGAATATCTCATATTTCTATGTTCGCAGTATGAATACCTCAGGGTATGGGGATCATGATATCTTTGAATACTGTTGAAAAAAGTATCCTTTTAAGAACCCTCTTACAGTTCCAAAGCATACTAGCTGCTATTCGTACTGTTTGCAAGCTGTAGCCACCACACCACTCTGTTTAAAGATAATGAAATACGTATACCACAAGTTATCAACCACCTGCGACATCCATTCTACTGTTTTTCAGAGTTATAAGTTCTCAATTTAAACTGAATTAAGGCAATGTGCCATGCAAACTTTTTAAACTTTTAAGAATAAATGCACAAAATTCAACACTGAAGGTAGCAGTTTTACAGAAATAATATGAATATTTTTGCATGGAACTATACTATAAACTAATGACAGATTGTGATCAGGATAATCTACCATCACTGCAGATGCGCGTAAAAAATAGCGTCAAATTAACCTTAAAGAAACTACAGCAAGCTGGGATCAATAACACCTAACTGCGCCCTCTGCTTTCGTATTTTCAAGATTTATTCCCGTTAGAAATAGGATTAAGCAACAGATGGCGGCAAACTAAATTTGAGATTCTTGTTTCTTCTAACGGTAACGTTCTTCTGAATTTTTTCAAAAGTACGCACAAGCTCGAGGATGAGATTTTGTGAAACCTCAATGGTCATTGACGTAATGTCAGAATAAAGTGATGCTAGAATAACTTGAATGAATTAATTTGTTTGTTTGCTGATTCATGTATTACAGGCTAATAAAAGCAGAAGTTTTTGATTCTGCAATTTCTAAAAACTGGTTGCACACACTCTATTCAGACCTTTTACGCTGGCGATGGGCGAGTCTGAACTGAGTGTTCTTTTTGAAGACGCGAACTGGTATGGAGATTTTTTCTAAAGAATCGGCCTCGGACTTGAGTTTTATGTACCTCGGGTCCGATCGAATCAAGTTTTAAGTTAAATGAACCGAAAAGTTTGCTTCTTTCATCTTTTTTGTTTTTCCGAATTCGAATGTGATGTGAGCCATGATTTCATTTACCGTGCAATCCGATGATAGCCAAGCCTACAACCACTTATTTAATATTGAGAAGTGTGTGTGTGTGTGTGTATGTGTGCGACTTGGACTTGACACTCTTTTGTCCAGCCCTGTTGCACGCGTATATCATACAATAAAGAAAATGTATTTGACACAAAGCTTAGACACACTAATAAGTCTGATATTTTTTTCAAGAAGCCTTAGAGAGAGTATTTATGTTGTCAAAATCGAGTAAAAATGGATGATTAAGCGCATGATAAATCGAGTGATTGATTGCGCTTAACGATTAATTTCTTTCTTTCCGATTTTGACGACATGAGAGTATTCTACTAATCATATGAATTGGAACAAAAATTTGAAGAAAACAGACATGTTCTAACGAGATGCTTGCTTATTAATGGAGATTTGTTTTTTTCCGATTAAATGATTTAACTGGACTAGAATTATATTGATTCTTTTTTTCTTATGTAAAACTCTTCTTATTTCAGATTTTATTCTCTTAAATGGAACCAAACTCACAGTTATTCAATGATTTAAGCCCATTAAATCAGATAAGTGAAGAATCATTGACCGATAATTTAGATCAAACTCGTGCACGTTTAAAACGTAAATTAGAACAACGTCGTACATTTGAACAATTAGTAGAACAAAATATTATAACAGAAGCACCAACTCATGAAAAAACACGTGATTTATTAGAGGAAAAAATACTCTATCGTCCCGATCGTCAATTATTAATTGAACAAAATATTTTACATGATACTAATGTAGCTCCAGCACTTCAACTTCAACAACAACGTTTAAAACGTGCAAAATTAGCTGATAATTTGAATGATAAATTAGCGCAAAGACCCGGTCCGCTTGATTTAATTGAAAATAATATTTTACAATTTGATAATACAAATATTAAACAAGCATTACAAGGTAAGAGAAATAGGTGACTAGAAATCGCTAATTAAGATTAAGAAAATTATCTCCTTTTTTGAAGATATTTTAAGATAGAAATTAGTCGTATTTTATTCTTAACTTGTTAACGGTTTACTTTTTATCTTTCTTAGGTGGACTTATTCAATATCCCAAAACATCTGATATTGTAACTACTTTACATTTACCTATTAATCCCTATTTATTTGACGATACCAGATTTAATAATTTAACAACAGCATCAACAACATTTACTCCAATTTCTACAATTATTCCTGAATCTGCACCAGTAATTCTTCAAACAAATCCCTGTCAATTAAAAACTTATAAACAACAAGTTAGTACAAAACCAAAACAACAACCACGTACTTTAGTTTTTCATGAATATAAAGGACCAAGTGAAAAACCAAAAGTAACAAAATTACCCATATCAACAATTGAACAATCTACTACACAAGAAGATCATCAATATAAAGTTCGTTTACAACAACAACAATTATTTTTAAAATTAATTGATGATGAAGATAAACTTACAACTATTGATGTTTTATCATTAAAAAATACACTAACATCAAGAGAAATAGAAGAAAATAATAAAATTAGAGATGATTTAGAAGAGATGAAATTAACTGATTTAAGAAATGAATGTAAAAAATTGAATATAAGTACAACGGGAAATAAAACAAAATTAAAATTAAAAATAAAACAAGCAAGAAGTAACAGTACAACATCAACTACTTCAAATTGTTTAGAGACAACAGGTAAATATAAAAATTTATTGATTACAGTTGTGAGTTATGTTACGAGTAACAGACTAGATCAGTCAGCTCATTTTTATAAACTTTACAGGTGATTTTTGTCTGAAATTAAAAATTGTTTTGAAAAAATATTATAGGAAAAATTTTTTAGTCAAATGTAACGTGAAGAGAAAACTGTTGTGAGGTGATGTAGTACTGAGTATCACGTTTGTTTCTATTGAAAATTGTCTTTCAATTAAAAAACAGAAACTTTTGCATTGAAAATCCGAAATTTTTGAAAAAAAAATATTAAGTTGTGCTAATTTTAATACTCATTGCACTGAACAGTTGATCTTTGGAAAATTAGCTAAAACATCTGAAAATCTTTTTATATGAGAACGAAAACAGTCAAGATTTATTCCAGTTGTTGTTCAAGAGCACAGGGCTGGGAATGTCCGAGTCCAGACTGGAAAATTTTTCGCAAACTTGAGTTTCAAATTCTATTTCTTACATAAATCAACAAGAAAATGTTCAGGTTTTCATTATCAGTATGGAATATGCAATAGAAGTTTACTTATGTCACTTTTTCTGTTATAATAAGATTGATTTGTTGTACGGCATAGGAGAAAAGAAATATAAACAATGACAACCCCAAAAAGGTTTGAAAAAATTATCGAACTCGATATCTGCCGGACTCATCCAATCCTACAAGAGCAAGACTAAGCATTATTCATCAGAAATATTCTTTGTAATATAAGCATGACATTGTTTTTGAGTTAATTCTTATAGCATGAGTTTTCCCATCATAATAATTCATTTGAAAAATTATTTTTATAGAATAAGACAGTCAACATATCGTCTACCGAGTAAAAAATAAACACTTAGGGATTTTTGTTGTTGTTTTGAAATGTGTGTATCATTGCTCACTGTAACTCTGTTCCATATCACACTAGTAGGACTATTTGAACAGCTAAAATTTTAAGTATCAATAGGTCTAGTTCAGTATTTATGCACGTCATATGTTCGCTAGTAACATTTGAGTCATCTACAAAACCTAACGAATCAATGTATGTATGACAAGTTAAGAGTGTGTTTTTATAAATATTTTATTTAGGCACTGAAACTCAACCTATTCGTCTATCATTGTGCGAATCACCTCTAATGGATCAAACGTTTACTTTCAAATCGTTAGATGATACTTTTTCAACAAATGAATTATATTTACAACAACAACAAAAAATTGTTGAATTAGAATCTGAATTAGAAAAATTAAAGACTATTCAACAACCAACAAATGTGAAACCAAAATGTGATCCAATTACATCAGTTCAAATACAAAAACGTATTTTAATTCAACAACAAGAACGTTTAAAACAAAAAATTGAACAAGAACAATTTATTCAACAATTATTTGACGAAAAATTTACATTACCAACACCAACAATAGAAATACCCGTTGAACAAATATCATTGTACGTATAACTCTTCGTTTCTTTTTTGTGTTAAAACCTGGCTTGCGAATGTTCCTCTTTAATCTAAGACCTCTCCTCTTTTTGAGCTAATTTTCCTCTTTTTCTGGGATTTTTTAGCAAAAACACCAGAATTCTAAAAGTAGTTTCAGATGTATTTTTTTATCAATGTCGTCATCTGAAACAAAATTCAATCACCCATGGTTACAGAAAACAGTAGATGAAGTCCTTGTGAGACGATGGTTAAAGCAAGATGCTAAGGAATCAACATTTGTATGTACATTGTGTATTATACGATGTAAAAGAAATGGAAAAAATGTCGAGTATTATTTCTGCATGTTTCTGATGCGCTGGCGATTTAATTGTTTTTCCGTTAGAAAGAGCAAAGTCTGAACTTAAAAGAACATAGAAAACAAAATTTTTTGTAATTGGGTTTGAATGAGAAAAAATATAAATTATCAAACGTCGTTTAAAATGCTCTTGCAGAGCACTTTTTTCTTTAAGTTTTCACTGCAACCTAAAGAGAAAAACTTTTTTGAAAACTAAATAGATGAGAATGTCGACTGCACAAAACTGTATTGAGCCATCTACTGTAGAGAATGTCTCATTAACTCCTTGATAGTAAAAAAAAACGTATTACAAAAGTCAGATTTGGTAGAAAACTGTATTTTTTATGAGAAAGGCACGACATTGAGAAAATTTGTTATTTAGGATTCAAGATGTGTCAGTAAAAATTAAAACTAATGTGACCTTGCAGGGAATTGAATGTTGTTTCAGAAAATGTATTTTAGCAAAAGGACAAAATTCATTTAACATATGAAAATTATTAATTAAGCCTAATCAACTCTTTTTCTAAAACAAATAAATTTCTAATTGAAAAGTAGATCGAAAGATAATTTATCACATTCGATTTAAAAGAGCAATAAAAACATTTCTAGTTTCTATAATTACATAATTTCAAACTTACTCTGCTATAGTGAAAAAATACTTTTGATAAGAGCAATACATTTCAAAAGAGTGGAAGTTGCAAGAGTTTTTTGGGCAACATTTCGTATTTAGATTTCTTCTCACTCAAACTCTATTACAAAAAAATTTTGTTTTCTATGTTCTTTTAAGTTCAGACTTTGCTCTTTCTAACGGAAAAACAATTAAATCGCCAGCGCATCAGGAACATGCAGAAATAATACTCGACATTTTTTCCAGTTCTTTTGCATCGTATAATAAAACCGGCGAATTAGATTGACAAAGGATGGCAGTTGATAGTACAGCAGAAATAAATTATTACATTCATTAGCGATGCTATTTGAACAATCAGATATATTTCTGTGTTAAACTAGAATAACTCCTTTCTGCTGTGTTTTTCTTAGTTTTTTACTCGTGAACCACGGAAAAAAATACTTTAAGTAGGATGAAATCTTTTCTTTGAGAAACTTAACCCACTTTAACGTGTACACAACATTGTCAGTATCGGTTTTCTTCAAAAAAAATGCCTTCTCTTTTTTACCCAACGCTCTTAAAAATTCATTCTTCTTAAAAATTCTTCATTTTTTCCTCTTTTTTCTGAAAGAATCGTTGAAAAGGCAGGTTAAAACAAGTCGATTTTCAGATTGTCTTCATCTACATATTATTGTTGTTTTTTTTTGATTATTCTAATCTAGATCTTCGAATCAACAACAAGACAGTACAACTAACACAAATATTATATCAGAAGATCTTACATCATTAGATATTAACGATTATTTTAATCAATTATCTTCAAGTGATACTACCAATGATAATAGAAATCAAACAGCAACAGAAATGGTAGTGGATGATTTATTAACATTATTAACGGATTATAAAACAACATGTAACACTACATCAGATATAGATTGGCTAACAAATAATGAAACATTATTCGACGATAATATTTTTACTAGAGAATTTTTAACAGAAAATAATTTATTTAATAACGAATACGATCGAAATTTTGACTTTTTATTACCACCAAGTCCAATGACTTGATATATTTTGTTTTTCTTCGTCTTTTTTTTTTCCTCACAGTAGCAATATGAAAAAGAAAAGCAAACCTGTTGTGTACAATGTTTTTTTTTTCAATTTTATTTATCACTTTTATCAATAAATATGTATATTTTCTATTCGACTATTGATTCCTCTCTAAACAAGGCAAACATCTGGGTTGTTTTTTCCTCAATATTCAATTGCCTCGTTTCGGTCGACAAGAAGACTTATTTATAGAGACCATGACAATCCTACGATTTTTAACTGTTGTCTATAGGCATGTACCGGTATGAGTTAACCGAAAATGTTGCACAAGTTCTTGAAAATACGTGTGAGACAATATCAAGGAAGTGTCTGTTGTTCAATCAACAACTGTTCATTCGGGAAGATAGATGCACGGTGTACAAAATCAGAAATAAACTTCCAGTAGATAAAATCTAGGAAATTAAATTTGCCATACTTTTGTTGCTAAACTCAATTTTGGAAAACTCTTCCTTCACGGTGAAAAGTCAGAAATATCACTTATTTAGTTTATTTCTGATTTTGTACACCGTGCATCTATCTTCTCGGATGAACAGTTGTTGATTGAACAACAGATACTTCCTTCATATTGTCTCAAACATATTTTCGGTTATGATCGATTTCCGTTAATCGGTTAAAAACCGAAACCGATCCATGTCTAGTTGTCTATATTCACATGCAGTAGAAAATATTTATTAATATAAGAAATGTTTTCTACTCAATTTATTATTTTGTTCTTTTTGTAGTATAGACCATTTTCTCTTTGCTATTGAAGTTGTGAATATCATTGAATAGTGTACGTAACGTATTATATTAATAGTAAACAATGTCGTTATCTGCTACAAAACGTTCAAAGAAAAAATCACTAGCATCTCAAACATCAAAATCAAATAATTATATTTTGTCAACATCAACAAGTATAACAACAGTGGATAAAATGAATCAAATTGTTAAAGAAGTAGGTCTATTACTAAAGAATAAAATCGAAATGTTTAACTGAATATTTTATGCGATAAAATAAATAAATAAATACGGTTAAAAATGCATTTTTCTAATGTATTAACTTGACAAATGAATAGAAACTGTAGATTTGGATGTGAATCTTACATCATCAATTGGTAAATATAACAAGATAAGATGTACACTGCTAGTGTTTATATCAATGATTCGTTTTCATTCGTGTTCTAAGCCATGTTTAATGATGCACATTATTCAACGTTCTTTGTATTACGTTCATTTTATTTAGAGTCAAACAACATTTTCTTCGACATCAAGTGATCTCAATAGTCGTTTGCAATTAGCACAAATTCTCCTATCTGAACTCATTCAATCGATTACTGCCAGTCATAATAGCAACAGTATTAGAAAATTAGTTGCAAAGCACGTAGTTTTCTGGGTTTTTTTGTATTGTTTTAGAGCCTTTTTCTTCGTTGAATGATGGACTATATTGGGTTTTTTAGATCATTTTCCTATTTGAACGAAAATCAATTTGGTCTATTAATTCCTGAATGTTGTGAACGTTTAAAATCATTTTTCACTGAAAAAATTCAAGAAAATGATCTGACAGCGTTTTTAACATTAATGAATTATTTGATTGAAAATTTTCCATTCGGTCAGTTTGTACTATTTCATTCTTCTGTTGTTGTTGTTTTTTATTTACTTTTGATTTCATCTCTTTTTAAAGGTACTGCGTGTGTAATTCATATGCAAGACTCGGGTAAGTTTGTTTATTTTCATGTTATTTTACCATATCGGATATTTTGAACCCGATTTGAGGTCAAAATTCGAAAGTTCGACACCTGATTTTTTAAATAGCGCTTCTCCTTTATTCAAGAGCAAAACTAACTAAAAAATTCACCGAAATCTAAAAGTTTTCTGTCCTACACTCTCATAGAGATCCCTTATGCTCATTTTCAGCATCTTCACGGTCGATTATTTCTATCTTAACTTTTAACCACGACTCTACTCTACTAGATAGAACTTGTCAAATTTAATTTTTCCATAGTCATCGCACTAAGGACAAGAAATAAATATTCGAACAAACAAACAGTTTTCTTATATGAGCGTACATTTACGGTGGAAAATTTATCCACTGCTACATTGAGAAAACGGTACAGTGTTCAGTTAGCGTTTGGAGAACTTACGAGGGATCTCGCGAACTGTCACTTCGCTTTTCCAGCTAAACCTAGTGGGTTATAGGTTATAAATTATACTGAATCCGAATATCATAGTGGTAACTGCCAATGAGCCTCCAGAGAGCGGTTTCATGGAAAACCAGATTTTCAGAAGCTCTAAAAAGTAACCAAAACCTTTCTTAATGAGGCATAATTGTAGCCCGCACATTTCTGATTAAAATGAGACATCTCTCAGCTCTACGCGTAAGTAAGTAAGTAAGTTAGACCCGTACCGTTTCCAGTGTAGGGTGAAAAACAAAATCCAATGCACAAATTAAAAAGAAAACTATAGTGTCTTTGGTAAATGTTTATAAGTCGCTGTTGTAAGATA